TTTTTGGGGAGGGGGAGGGAGATATCCAATTACATGCTTCTAAAAAGAAGATAATAATGCTTATATATATGTAGCTTTATACTTGAAGCATTTCAGTAATAATTAAACATTGTGTGCATAGTTCAACATAATTCAACCACATATGCAAACAGAGGTTAAGTAAAAACAAATGAGCGTGAACTTATCCTTGATTTTTCAAATTTGGACAATGTACACTTTTGGACTTTAACACATCCCTGCTAATATCATACTTTTGCATGAGGCAGGTACAAAGTCATTGTGTCCAGTAGGTGCTGAGCAGTTTGCTAGACATGAATTTGGTATTGTGCTGTTTCTGATGAACTATTTTCTGTTTTATTCTATTCAGGGAGGCACAGTAATAATAAGCGGCTGAAATGAAGCTATGCCAACATCCTTCTTTCAAACATGTCAAGGCAGAGTTACTGAGTGATTCTACCATCTCGGTCAGCATTTAGAATTCAAATGGCCAAACACGTATGACGCATTCAAGAATGGCCCTAAATTGTCTTCTGCTGTTACAAGCAACATGTACATGTATATCATTCACTTGAACCTTAAGAAACATGAAATGGGAAAGTGTCTTCACAAAACTCTGTCTAAAGTATCACTCATGACAAACCTGTCACACAGTGTATGTGTGCATCTTTTCAAACTGTGGACAAATATACCAGAGAACAAAAGAGAACAATGTTATCCACGATTCCCAAAAAAGTTAAGAGTACAAACAAAAGAGGGACAATAGGACGTCAACGATAGACGGTGAACATGCGTTTATGCGGCTTGGTGAACATTCTTTTTGGGGAATCCATGCAGTGGAAAACCCTGTTGGCTGCGAGACAGTTCCTGACTGACTGCTAGTGACATACATGTACATGGCGATTGATACATCTGTGTTATTTTCCAGTTCTTCATCTTGCAGTTGAATAGATGCAGAAAATAACTAAATGGGCAAGAGACAATATGCACACAGTATGTTCTGTACCAAATCAACATGCAACTCTGTAATGTTTGAGATATTCAATTTCATTGATTTCAAATATTTAATTGATTCCACTGTTAGACATAAGACAAGAATACCCAGCAGAAATGTTATTATTGAAAAAAAATGTGCTAGTTCTCATAAAATTGATTATAGTGGTTTGTTTGCTTGAACATATTTTACTTAGCTGAATTTTTTTTAAAAGGGGCAGTGGCATGTGTATTTACATGTGAATGTCTACTGAGCTAATTTCCTGTGCCATGCCCCTACTATATGAACATGTAGTCTCGTCTGCATTCTAGGGCCTGTTCTTGAAAACGTTTTACCTTGCTCCTTTATAATTCTTGTTTCTGGTAGTGTTGGGGGGGGGGGGGTAGGGGTGTAAGCTCCTATTTTCTTTATAAAGACACTTTTGTGATATGTTCTTGTTATATAAGCATTTGACATGTACTGGTTCATATCTGACATGGATACTCAATGTCAAAATATTCAGAAGACACATATTATGGGTTAAGGAAGCATAACTATTTGGAACTGTTTTGTTGTAAAATCGCCGTAAATTGTTTGTGTAAATCTATTGCTTTTTGGGCTATGAACGTTACTCCTCATGTTATTTATCAAGTGTATTTTCAATAAAATTGCTCACGATGACAAGAGTCTAATGCACTCTTTATTTTCTAAATTCCTTACTTTGAGGTTAAACCTTCTTTTTGAGTCACAGGGGCAATTTTTTCCCCCGAAGTATATCGCCAATGGGGGTTTACGGTACAACTTTTTGGGCTTTAAACTATGACGTTTTGGACTTCACTGTCTTCTCTGTAAAAAAAAAAGAGACAAAATACAAAATAAGAACACAAGAAAATAATTTGACCCTAATGAAATTCGGGACTCTATTTCCCTTAAAAACAAGAAAATCCTCCAAAGCCTAAAATTAAATGGAAAACATTGGATAAATACGGATATTGGAAATTTAGAACCATAGCCTCACGGTCAACAAATAAAAGTATCATAGAGGGCACTCAAAAACCCTATATTACTGGATGTAGTTTGGGAAAAGACAATTCGCTACCCCACCGTAGCAGCGCAAGGGGGATGTTGGGGTGGGCACAATCGACTTGACCCTGTCCAGGCCTTGCACACTGTAAACAGGTCCCGGCAAGCGAAGCAAAGGCAGGGTGACCATGGCCAAATTCTGTTAAGCAAGCAAATATACACAACCTTTTACTTATACTGTGAGTAATCCTTTACATTTCCAAAAGATTCAACAATTACAAAGGATATCAGATATGGTAACGATAAATAGGACTTGGCTTACTTTTAGATGAAATTTGTCTTTTCCTCCGTTTCTGAAGTGTTAAGAAATTAGCCATACTGTCATTCTCAAACATTTTGATAGTACATGTACTAAAATAGGTGACATCTTTCATGTAGACATTTGAATTATTGGTATTTTAGTCAATTGCCATTGTTACATATTTGCCTTTTCCAATGTAGCAACCACCAAGTCGTCAACCAAGCCTGTTCTTCAATAAAATACTTCATAAAAAATAAGTCAAATTTGTCTTCTATTTTTTTGAACTGATTGTTTCCTTTGGGGGGGGGGGGGATGGAGTGTAATGAGACTAATCATCTGAGCACGTACTCATTTGAATAAATAATATGATTGTGTGAAGTTTCAATAACATAAATTAGTGCAGTCATTTCCTTTAACAAAAACTTTTTGTGCAACGGCTTTGAAATTTGTTTTTCTGCATTATTTTTTTTTTTAATTGAGGTGATGTTTTTCTGTTTTGAATGCATTATTATTTTATGTGCTGTTGTTGTTTTTGTTATACATATATAGATTTAGGACTTCCAGAGTGTACACCTTTAAGATGATGCACTGGATCCCATTATGACATCATCATGGCTTCTGATTTGGCATCTACATGTATACTAAGAAAGGAACGACATCTGTCTGTTTGCCCTTCCCCTAAGGCAGAACAAAAATCACTGAGACAAGTCTACTGATTGGCGAATGGGGGCGCCATTCACTTTTTACGGTGTGCCGCTATATTTTTTGGGGGACGCGCTGTCCTTATTTTGATCCCGTGAAAGTGTTCAGTTCAGGCTAACGAGGCCTTGCATAGCTTAGCCTGTGCGCCCGTACAATCATTAAAGTTACTGATTGGCGAATGGTGGGTCATTCACTTAATACGGTGTGCCGTTATTTTGTTTTGCAAACGCGCTATCCTTTTGATCCCGTGAAAGTGTTAATAAGATGCTGCCCGCTCGTTTTACGCTGCCTTGCCTTGCACAGCTAATACAACCGTTAAAGTTATGAACTGCCCTCTTTTGGCGAAAATGAAGGGACGTAATGTACATTGTACGACGTTTCAAAGCCACGTGTACGTGCTATACATGTGGAAGAACTATGCATGGTTTAAAGCTATCTGCCGCAACTTGCGCAAGGGTATTTTTTGCCCACGCCGCGTCAACTGTGTGAACATTTTTACAAGCTGGGAACTTGGCACTGTTGAGGCAAATGTTTACGCTGTCATTTAATGGGCAATTCAAGATTATATCTGTACGGATTGATTTGTCAGCAATTTTTGAAAAAGGAAAGGTCTTTTCAACAGAACTTCCGGTCTGATGACGTCATACGCCTAAAACTTCGCACACATCTTAAGTTGCTCAAGGTCATCATACACACCAATATTTAGGCGATTCCGACAAACTTCGCCACAGACATCTATTCAAAATACATTTTTGAAAATTTGCAACCTGTTGCTAGAGGGCGCTCGAAAGTTAAATGACGTCATTGGTAGATGATTTCAAGAATACTACTAGCCAAGAGGCTAACACCGTTGAAAGCAAGTTCATATCTATTACCACTTTTAAATAATAAGCCACTTCCGGTTTTGGCCTTTTTCGACCGGAAGCAAGGGTCACGTGATTTCACGCACACTGAAAGAAATAAAGACCTCGACCTACTCTACCACTTGCCGGCAACAGAATGCTGCGGACGCGTACGGTTGATTTCTTATGCATTTTTAAATATCAAAAGTGTCACAATTTAATTGCCAATAAATAAACACCTGATGACGTCATCATGACGTCATCATTACACAATGTCGTTTGAATTAGGGTCTTTGCTTTAACAAAGTTTGGTGTAAATGAATTACTGGCAAAGAGTCAAAAATGTCCTTTGAAAACCGACATTTTTTTTTTAAATTTTGTGTACAAAGTCTATGGGAAAAATTAAATATTCAAAAATCTATTATAAATTAGTCGATGACGTCATCACGACGTCACTCTTCCGGGCACATCTCTGCTATAAGGACTATGACTATGCTAACTTTGAATGGTGTATGACAAAGATTAATGCCAAAAGTGGCACTGAGAAAAAACGTGTACAAAGTCTATGGGATTTTGGCGACAAAAAGAAGAAGAAGAAGAAGAAGAAGAAGAAGATAGAAAAAAAATGAGAACAAAAAGAAAGGCTTTTCCGCTTTTTAGCGGAAAAGCCAAAAACAAGAGCTGTTTCGGTGTGTACACCGAAACAGCTAAAAACCGCAAACACGGCGGTGTTAGCAGAACTTCAAAGGCCTTTGCGGTACTGCAGCTGAAGTATCAGGTTTTCTAGTTGACAATTGCGTCTTACAACAGCAATTGACAATGCCGACATGAAACTGGATGCCTGGAACCACAAAGAGAATGGAATCAAACTTATTGTTTGCCTTTCTGTTTGAATTACTTTTGCAAAGATTCTGAACACTAGGAAGAGTACAGCAGTATCGAAATTCCATACCGAGTTCACTGGTGTTACGGTGTTCATGAATCATTAGTCGTATAATCGGAATTAGAAAATATCAGTGACTATCCGGTAATACCAAAATACCGTTTAAGCCTAATAGAACCCGTCAGGGCAACTGCTTTGCCCTATTCTCCAATCACAAATTGAATCCGCCACATTCACATCAGCGGAGGCGATTTGGCCAGTGATGGGATTGTACAGATGAGGGCGATGATCTTTCAGTGGGTGTGGGTACTTCTCCACCTCGGCATTTAATAATGAGACCCCATTCATTGGCTCAGCAGAAAGGGTCATGCTCTTGAGATGGCAATCATGTGCTTGCCAAACTGGTAAGCAGAGACAGCTCTCCAGTATTCATCATGGTGCCGACAGACAAGTTGCACATTACCTTTGACATGGAGCACACACATCTCAAGCAGGTACTGCATGAGATAAGATCTTATAAGATCTTACTAATTTGCTTATAAAATACTTATAAGAATCTTATAAGATTCTTATAAAATTCTTATAAGAAGGTTCTCAGATTCTTACAAGATTCTCACAACATTCTTATAAGATTCTTATAAGATTCTTATAAGATTCTTATAAGAGTATGTGGTTGTAAAGGCAAGAAACGGGTATGTACATTTAATACAAATCTTTAATTGCTAATTAACACAACGTCCAAACGTTGTGTTTGAAAGGATTGATTCTTCAAAATCACAACTTTTAACATTTTAAAGATGGCGTCGGCACGTAAAACGGATAAACTGCAGCCCTTATTATTTATAATGTGCCATATATTTTGGCACATTTAAATGACACAATCCCAGGGGTTACGATCGCGCAAGGCATGTTGGGAAACAACATGGCGCTGCAAGATCGTACCCACGGGGCACGAGGTTGCCCAGCCACCCAAAAGTAGGTCAAGAGAATTAAAGCGCCCTCATTCGACGGCAAGGATAAAGCTAGAGACGGGACGACGTGTTATCAGGTTATAGACGGAGTGAACATGGTAAAATTCACACTTTTATGAACATTTTATGAATTTCAACCCACCCTACAGGTACCCATCCCCATCAAGACAATAATTGTGAAATATTGAGGCCGAAAATTTCGTGTCAGGAAAGTTAGGAGGTTATTTAATCTGGCCATCACTTGTGTGAGGCTGACTGCACTGACACACATGACCGGCCCTACTCCTAGAACTATGAGGCTCCGCGTGAGCGGAGCTCCGCTCACGCGGAGCCTCATAGTTCTAGGAGTAGACCGGCCCCACATGCCTGATGACTGTCTGTGCTGACTCAGTGACTGTGCACAAACCGTAGGCGTTTAATACTTATCGATTTCCATGAGCATGATGGGACTTAGCCCCACTAGTGTGGCCGTCGGTATACTGCGCTGAGCATACCGACGGCCACACTAGTGGGGCTAGATGGGACTAGTCTGAAAATTTCAATGTTTTCTCAGTGAGTAGCCTAAATACTTAGTAGGGGAGAAGGGCGGATACCAGACTTTGCCATAGGTCTGGGGGTAGTACAGGGCCAATGGGGAGAGGGGCAGGTACCAGACTTTACCCCTCCCCCTTTCCCCCACCCTCTGACCACGCCCCCACCCCACCCGCCCCTCCCGATATCTCAGCCCCAAGCCAAAACCGGGGCCCATTATCTCTCGTCTAGAAGATCTGTCTCTCACCAGCTGGTGAGTCTGATTGCTTGTAAATCTAAAAGTCTGACCTCTTAAAAAAATTTAAAAAAATTATATTGATATATATAAATGATGGATATGATTAGGCCAATCGTTAAGGGATTTTCTAGATGGAATAAAGCCACGCTGCGCGATTACGTCCAGCGATATAATGTACCGTACGATCAAAATGTTGCTCTTACGCGTAAAGTCTACATCAACGGGATAAAAAAATACGAAGCTCAATTTAGAAACTTGAGGAAAAAGAAGCTACATGAGCTCAAACAGATTGTAGACGATTATGATCTAGAATATAACCCGTCGGGTTATAAGGGTCGATTTTTGAAAAAAGATTTACTCTCGGCGATTCAAAACTCTAGGCAACCCGAGTATTTTCAAGAGGCTGAGTTTAGAGCGACGAGGAGATTTAGAAATAACTTTAGAAACTGGGAACTGATTCCTAGACTTTTTAACGACGATTTAGTCAAGTTTTTTGATACGCACAAAGATCAAATTGTAAATAAAATCAAGTCAGAATTGAGAGAGCTGAGAGGTTTAAAAATGGAGCTCACAATCAAAATAAAATACGAAAAAACCAAACCCGATGGTACGATCGAAACGATCGAAGCTACACATTTTACCGATCAGAGAGTCGTTTTAAATCAAAGTCAAATAAAACAGGTTTTAAAAGAAGACATCGACCAGATATTTAAAAAGGATGAAAGGTATACGAATCAAGGATCGGGTTGGGTTTTAAAAAAGATAATGGCGTTGTATATCAACATCAACAGGTTTAACCCTGTGAGAGGTAGTTCTTATATTGACCTACCAAAATGTATCAAACAGAAAACGGCGATGATTAACATTAAAAACAAAGACGACGAGTGTTTGAGATGGTGTTTGAGAGCTGCTCTTGGGTTGTATACGGATAAAGTAAAAAATAACATAAAAAACGATCCTAAATATAAAATTCATAAAGAAGAACCTGTTGTATACACCAAAGACGACGGACTCAAATTTAAAGGCGTAGACTTTCCAACACCGATCGACCAGATACCAAAGATAGAAAGACAAAATAATTTAACGATAAACGTATACGGTTATGAGGGGGAAATATATCCGTTATACGTGTCTAAAAACTACAAACCAGAGTCACGACCTATCGATCTGTTTTTGTTTTCTGAGGGCGACAAGCATCACTACTGCTGGATAAATAACTTTTCGAGATTGATTCACAACGTTACAAAAGATAAAAGTAAGAAATATTTTTGTCGAAGGTGCCTGAGTCATTATAGAACGCAAGTAAAATTAGATAGACACATGGCCGATTGTAACGGTATAGATACACATCCGTCAAAGATTGTATTTCCTACCGCTAAGCAAAAATATGTAAATAACGAGTGGATAGTCGACGAAAACGATGTGCCAACATTAGAATTTAAAAACTACAGGTTTAAACAAAAAGCACCGTTTGTAGTTTACGCCGACTTTGAATCGATATTAGAAAAAAACTCGGACGATAAAAAGAACAACACGCAAAAGACAAACATTCACAAAGCTAGCGGTTACTCGTTGGTAGTAGTTAGATGCGACGGCACCAATGCGTATCAAGAGACTTATAGAGGTAAAGATGCTGTATCAAAGTTTGTAAATAAAATGTTAAAAATACAAAGCGACATAAATTGCATATTTAAAAAACCCCAACCCCTGAAATTTAACGAGCGAGCTAAAGAACATCATGATAAAACAAACACGTGTTGGATTTGCGAGAAACCAATTTATCCCAATTACTCGAGCAACTGTCAGTGCCAGAAACCCAAAAAACCAAAAACAGAAAAACAAATAAAAGAACATCAGTACGAAAACAAAAATGGATTTACAGAGTCTAAATGCCTCGAATGCAAAAAGAAAATCAACAAATTTAGAAAGGTGAGAGATCACTGCCATGTCACGGGTAGATATAGAGGTGCCGCGCACGCCTACTGCAATCTAAAATTACAAGTTAAACCAGGTTTTACCCCCATACCAGTCGTCTTTCACAATCTGCAAAATTACGACGCTCACTTGATCATGCAGAGTATTTCAGAGTACGATGACGAAAAGAAAATACAAGTTATCGCTAGAAATTCGGAAAAGTATATTTCGTTTTCGATCGGAAATATGCGATTTATAGACTCGTTTAATTTTATGGCGTCTTCGTTGGATAGATTATCTAAAGCTTGTCCGAGAGAGTCGTTTAAACTACTCAGAGAACATTTTAATCGTCAAAATATCGACTCGTTGTTACAAAAAGGAGTTTATCCGTATGAATACATGGACTCGTTTGACAGATTTCAAGAGACCAGCCTACCCCCCATCGAACAATTTTACAGCAGCCTAAAAGACGAAAATATATCGCGAGAGGACTACGACAGAGCTAAACTGACGTGGAACGAGTTTAAAGTTAAAAACATGGGGGAATATCACGATTTGTACGTCACTACCGACACGTTATTACTGGCATGCGTATTTGAAAACTTTAGGAAAACGTGTATTACAAACTACGCGTTAGATCCGGCTAATTACTATACAGCACCAGGATTGTCTTGGGATGCCTTGTTAAAACACTCGGAAGTTAAACTCGAACTATTGCAAGACGTAGACAAACATTTATTTTTTGAAAAGGCAAAAAGAGGTGGTATCTCGAGCGTGGGTGGTATGAGATACCACAAAGCCAACAACAAATACCTACCAGACCATAATCCAAACGAGCCGTCGAGTTACATCACCTACCTCGATGCAAACAATCTGTACGGCTGGGCCATGAGTCAATACCTGCCGTACAAAGACTTTAAATGGGCGTCTACAAAAACATTTACCGAGTCCAAGATATTATCTCTCAGGAAAACGTCAAACACCGGTTACTGCTTCGAAGTAGACCTCGATTACCCGGACAATCTCCACGACCTGCACAATGATTATCCCCTAGCGCCAGAAAATATCGTCATACCAAAAGAATGGATGTCTGATTATCAAAACGAGTTATTGGATACCGAACCTAGTAGCAACGTGCAAAAATTGACGTGTACCCTTAATCTTAAACAAAAATATGTTTTGCACTACGTCACGTTGCAGTTGTATCTCAAACTCGGCTTGAAACTTAAAAAGGTACATCGAGTGCTGCAATTTAAACAAGCGCCTTGGATGGCATCTTACATAGACAAAAACACGCAACTCCGAACAAAAGCGACCTCTGATTTTGAGAAAGACTTTTTTAAACTCATGAATAACAGCGTGTTTGGTAAGACGATGGAAAACGTCAGAAACAGGATTGACGGTTACCTGCTCAGAGACAATAACGATGACGATCGAGATAAATACCAAAAAATTATACAGAAACCGAGCTACAAAACGACGACGTCATTTTCAGAATGCAAATTGTCATTTGTCGAAATGTACAAGACTAAAACCGTGTTAAACAAACCGATCTATTGCGGAGTGAGTATCTTGGATCTCTCAAAGACGCTGATGTACGATTTTTATTACAACCATTTGAAAGACAAGTACAAAGATAAAATCAGTTTGATGTACACAGATACAGACAGTTTGGTACTCGTAGTGCACACTGACGACGTGTACAAAGATATGCAGCAAAACGGGCAACACTACGACCTTTCGAATTATCCAACGGATCATCCTTTGTACGACCCAACCAATAAGAAAGTGATCGGTAAATTTAAAGACGAGTTTGGAGGTAAAATAGTCAAAGAAGTTG